CGGGGGATGAAAGGAGGAAGCGAAGGAGCCGAGGGCGGCCGAGCGGCTGCACCGCCGCTGGGTCTCGGGCCGGGGCCGCGTCGCCGCGGGGACGCGGGGCCGCGGGGCCGCGAGCGCTCGGGCGGGTCCAGCTTACGGTCCTCAGGATCCTCTTCTTCAGGAATCGCGCTTTGGTGCATTTCACAAAGGCGCGAGTCACGGCTCTGACCGCCAAGCGGTAGCAGCGATTTTTCCTCCCCCGGAAGTGCTGGGTCAGAAGACGAGAAACCGGGGTTGTCAGCGGGGCCCCCGCCGGCGGCCCTCGGCCCATGGGATCCCCCGGGCGCCCGGTGCCCGGGCGGGCGGGCGGCACTCACCTTGGCGTGCTTCAGCACCTCCTGGATCCGCCAGTAGCGGTCGGTGACGCGATTCCGCAGCCAGAGCTGCGCCGTGAGGAAGACCATGCTGCCCGCGGACCCGCGTCCCGAATCCTCAACGACGCACGCGCCGCGCCGCCGCCATTTTGCCCCGCGCGGAAACAGCGGCCACGAGTGCTTCCGGGTCAGCGCTGACGAGGACTTCCGGGGCGAAGGTCGCCGCCCCGCCGTCCGCGGGTGCCCGGCGGCGCCCCTGATCTGGCCGAGGGCGCGCGTGCGGTGGAGCCGATGTGCGGCCGCGGCCGTCGCGGACGGTGGATGAACAGCCGGAGCACGGCCGGTCCGCCGCTGTCTCCGAGGGCGCCGTGTGGGCCGCGGACCCGGGCCGAGGGCGCGGGGCCCGGGAGCGCGAGTGCGGCGCGGGCGGGGAGGGCCCGGCCGCCCCCAGGGCCGCGGGGACGGTGCCGGTCGTCTCCGAGCCCTGCGCTCGTCTCCATTCGTTTTGAGACGGGGTCTCGCCCGGTCGCTCCGGCTGGGGGGCCGCGGCCCGACCTCGCCCGCCGCCGCCGCCCCGGTAGCTGGGACCTCAGGCCCGCGCCGCCACCTGCCAATTGACTGCGTTTTTGTAGTTGGCGGGGGTCTCCCGGCGTTGCCCAGGCTGCGCTCTGGCCCCGGGCCTCGGTGCTGGGACCACGGGCCGGAGCCGCGGCGCCCGCCCTGCGAAGGCCGAGCTTCGACGTGGAGACGGTGGCCGCTGTGCTGCCAATACCTGTAATCCCAGCGGCTTGGGAGGCCGAGACGGCAGCAACACTCGGGCCAGGAGTTCAGGACCAGCCTGGGCACCGAAGCGAGACCCCGTGTCGACAAAAAGTGACAAAGAAATTAACCGGGCCACCCGGGAGGCTGAGGCAGGAGGATCGCGCGAGCCCCGGCGCTGGAGGCTGCAGTGAGCTCGGATGGCGCCGCTGCGCGACAGCCTGGGTGACAGAGCCCGAGTGTGTCAAAAGAGCACCTTGTATGTGTAATTTTGTATTTGCGTATTATCTGCTACAATAAATAAAAATGATGGGAGGTGTGCAATTCCTTTGTATCTTTTAATTATACTTGGATATGATTTTTAAATTACAGAAAAGTTGCAAGACTAACACAAGGAAAACTCCCTACTGCTGTTCCCAAAATGGGCCAATATCTTCA